CACCAGGGAGGATAACTCACTCAGGGAGATTTTCTTTAGGTACTGCTACACCATCCATGGGATCAGCTTGGGCCTTAAATGACACGAATTTCTCTACAAACATACTTGATTACCAGTGCAACAATTATACAGTGTATATATTTGGAAAGAAAACAGGACACGATTCCCCTTGCTGTTATTTCATGCCACAGAATCCTGACTACTTGTTGAAAAACTATTTCCAATAAAAATTTAAGTTTTTTTTTTCCAAGGAAAGCTGATGCTTTCTACAAAAAAAAAAAAAAATTCTCAAAACCTTAAACTCCAGTTTTAGCCAAAAACAAGAGACCAGCCCTAGGTGTAGTATTCAGACCAATACTACAAAACAAATCACAGAAGTTATAACCACCTGAGCTTGGTTATTTACAGTGGAAGGCAAGCTGCAATTCCTTCCTTTGATCCATTTGTTGGCTTCAGGATTGCATTTCCCAACCTCGCTCTTTTAATCACTGTAAACATCAGGGGCGAAGAATTCGGTGGAGAGAAAACGGGCCTTGTGGTTTTGATCAGACTGGTCTTTGATGACTTCTCTTTCCCACTTTCAGTGCCTGAACTTTATACGTGACACCGCCACATAGTCTCAGATTCTGTGATCTGCATGTGAAGTCACATCATTTTGCTGCCACATCTCCATCCCCTGAGTGGATCCAGCCCTGGGTGTGTATCTATCCATCTGTCCATTCCCAGGTGGAGCAGGGCAGGGTCCCACACAGGCACATTATCCCTCAATCAACATTCCCTCAGGAGCAAGCCTGGAGAATCACACTTTGCTTTCCCAAGCCCCCTCACCCATGTGTTTATCCCTGCAGTGCTGGCAAACCTCTGAAGCCAAGGAAGCCAGAACTGCTGATGGGAATTCCTGAAAGATTTCCCAGCAGGGCGGTCCAAGTTACCTTTGAATGAGATAACCCCGGGGACAGCAGCAGTCTTTCTGCCACAGGATGGAGCTCAGTGCAGGCTGCAAAGCATTTTCTAGGAAGCCTGATAAATACTCCAGCAACCTTCTGTCACTGATGTCCACACCGCAGCTCTTTGGCTGCCATCAGCACCCACCCTGGCAGCTCAGCAAACCTCATTTACGCAGGTCTGAGTGCCACTGCAGAGCCTGCACCATCAGCGTGCCTCCAGGCAGATGAACTCCACAGTCACTAAAAAGAATGATGTAGGTGAAGGTCTTGATCATGTCTGAAGAAAGCACAATACCCCAGATAAAAGTAAGGGGGGGAAAAAAAGCCAGCTTTTGTAAAAAGTTGCCTGTGAAGAAAGAGCTTGTGAACTCTGTGGCTTCGATTTTGTCCCACTTTACTCTGCTCACCTTCTCTACAAAGTGTTTCTCACACAGATGTGTATTTTTAACAGCTCTGAGAAGAACCTGCCAGAGTTGGAAGCTCAAGCTACTTTTACCCTGGATACACGGGGTGCAAATGTCACCTAAGAGGTTTAAATGGCACAGGAAGGATTTTTTTTTTTTCTCTTTTTAAACCAAGAATGGACAAATTATTATTAATGGGGCTGATCTTTCTGACTGTGAAATCTCACTAAATATAAATATTTAACACAAGAAATCCTCAGAGTTCTCCTCTATCTGAGCACAATACGCAGTCAGAAACAGATTTACCGAAGGAGTTAAAAGTTTTCTGCAATAATGCAACAAATCACTCTGTGTAACAAACACAGACACGTTCTGTGGCAGTTTCCCCACAAGCTTCAATCTATGGGGGAGGGGAAAAAAAAATCTTGATTTATTATATAGCATTTGGACAGTTGGGAACGCAAATTTGCCAAAGATCAGAATAATCAACTCTTTCACCCAAGCAGGTTTTTTTTTTTATGGAAGAAAAAAAGCCCAGAATGGGTCTGAGCAAAATAAATAAAAATTCCACACTTTTAACCAAGAGAACCTTCTGCGTCATTCAGAAGCATTTACAGACCCAGAATCTTTTATCATCAAAATGACACTCTGGCCTTTAAAATCACAGCTCTTTCTTATACCTCTGCTTACTGATGGCCTTTAAACCAGTGGGTATCTCCAACTTGAGGCATCTCTTCGTGCAGAGGCAAATGCAGGAGCTTTTAAAGCTGCTCCTTGCTGGTTTTTTTCTCTTCCCCTGAAACATCCCTCCTTTGCCAAGCTATCATCTCTGAGCTTTAAAGGCAGCAGAACCCCACCTAACCAGCAGCATCCATTGCATGACTCATGGTCAGCAGTGTCTCAAACATCAGTTTTTGTCCCTTGGAAAGGGTTTCTAATGCCAATATGGAAATTATCCAACCTGGAAAGGGCTGGTTGTTTTATTACAATCACATACTGCCAGGGAGAGGGCTGCAAATGGAAACGTATATTAGCCATTCAGGGTATACAAGCCTCACTCAGCCCAGTAAAGCTATCAGTGTAGCATCCCTGCTCCCCCTGCCTATTTAATTAGCACACAATGAAGGCCACTGAATTCCCCTGCAAAAGGCGTTGCATACTTTGGAACAAAAAAGAAAGGAGAAAAGAAGTTGCTTTTAAGTGCAATCCAAAAAAATAGCTCCTTGGCTAAATGGCACTTTTAATAAAAAGACGTTTCCAGTGTTTGCTTATTTATCAAAAAGCAGTGTTTCTCTCTCGGGTGTTTTCATTTTTATTTCTGTGCACAAGAAGGAGGGGAAAAAAAGGGCTTTACTAAGCAAACCTTTCAGTAAGACACCAGATGATGGATAGTCAAACACAGAGCCTCCTGTAAACACAGAGGTAACCAAAAGGTATGAGCTGACTCATAATTGTGTCAACACAGGTCGCAGCCCCTTGGTTTATTTCAGCCTTCCTGTTTTTCACGGATTTCTTTTCACACTACACTATTTTTTTTTTTTTTTTTGAGACACAGGCTCTTTTCAGTGCACCTTAGCGGGGTGCAAAAGCACACACGTTTTTACACCAAAATGTGGGCAGCTACACACACACACACGCAGGCTGCAGTGCCACAGCTACAGCAGCAGCATTTACTGATGGCTGCATTAAACTGCACTGTGCAGTCCATGCTCGGTCTGAATCAAAAGGTTCAGTCCCATCCCTGCCTCCAGCCTTTCCCTGGAGGCTCTTGGGAAGCATCCAGAAAAGAGGAGTACAACAAAACCTCAGCAGCCTGGTGCTCCAGTCCATGCAACGCTCCAAGACTCGGTGTGATGTTTCTTCCTCACCAAAGTGGCAAGACTCTGTCTGACCGAAAGTGCTGGGAGGTGAGCAGGCAGCAAAGAGGTCTGTGAGGAGCAGAACCTGCCCATATTTGTCTTGGTCTCTAAACAAACTGAATTAGGCTGTAGCCTTTTCCTTGCACAAAGTTTACAATCACAGAATCGTGGGTTGGGTTTGGAAGGTTGGAAAGATCACCGAGTTCCAATCTCCCTGCCTTGGGCAGGGACCTTCCACTGAAAAGCCCCATCCAACCTGGCCTTGGAGGAAAAAGCCTTTCTGGGGTCTCTGTTTCGTTACTGGCACTGACTGGTGGGCTAAGAGATCGTTAGGGGAGTGACTGATGGGCAGACACACCAACAACTTGAATACCCTGCAAGTCACAGAGCAGTTCAGCTGATGGTCCAAGACAGATTTTTCAGTAAGTTCCCTGACAAAAATCACCTGTGGAAACACCTGAGATCTGAAATCCTGAGATCCTTTTAAAGGACTTGCAGAAAATAACAAATGAAGGGTCAAAGGCAGGGAAATGGTTCTTCCTCAGCAGAGACGATGAAAGAAGCAGTTTAGGGCCAGACTGCAATGCCCAGTACTTGTTCCTGGCTGCCCATCCTGAGCACCTCAGGTCAATCACACACAAAATTACATTTAGGACAAAGCTTACACACACACACAAAAGGAAAAAAAAAAAAAAAAGCCAGAAATAGCATTTCAGAAACTGAAATCATTGGCAGACTTAACTTTTTTAAGACCACTCATTTTAAGACACTACACCTTCACAAAGAGCAGCATTTTATCTGGAGCCATTTCCCCCCCTGTAGAAACCAAGGCTGACAGAACAAAAAGGAGAATTCCTTCTGCAAATTACAATATATGAAGTCAGATTGGCTTCCAGCACGTTTGGTACCTTCAGAAATTGGTCAGGGTTTGCGTGTTTGTCGAGTGGCCATAAACTGGGGAAAATCTACACCCTCTTCTACTGCCTCTCCTCTTTTCTTTACCTCCTATGAGTTCTACAGCAGAAGATGAGGGGAGAAAATTTTACTGAAGGAGACCATGGAAAGACTTTCAAAACATTCCACATATTTTCTCTGCATAACCACGCAGTGAATTTCTAAGATAAATAGTGCCAGGGCACTGTCACTCAGACCCCAGGAGTTCACCCAAGTCAGACAAATTATGCTGCCTGTTATCTCAGTTGTTACAGATTCTTGCCTTTCATTCATTCCTTGCCAGTGGCTGGATTTGATGTGCAGGGGAGAGAAGAAGCCTCAAAAGCTGAAGTTAACCTTTTGTGGTGAGACCAGTAATGCTGGGCTCTCCAGAGGAGAGTGCAGAAGGAGGTAGCTGCTAGCCTTGTTTGCCAAGGTAGCAGCCAAAAAAATGCTAAAATTTGGCACATGTGAGCAGGAGAAAGGCAGTGCTATGAAAATGGCTATTGCAAGCTCCCTTCCAAATCTGCAGTGTTTGGCCCACACAGATAAAACAAATTAAGTTAAAAAACACAAAAACTTTTACATGTCCTATAAAAACCTACATAAAGCAGTGCTGTGGTTGTGGTTTGAGTAGAGGATGGTGCTGCTGAGCAATCCTGCCTGGCAGAGGTAGTGCCTGTTGCTTCAAACATCACATCCAGACCGTAATTAATACTAACCTTCCACTACAATCAGCAAGCCTCATTTCCTCCCTGATAAAGAGCTCCTTATTAGAAGGGAATGCAGGATGTGACGAGGGGATCCATTTCTGAGTGCCTTTTTACAATGCTTCCAAAGAAAGGAAAAGCTCTTACCTATGGTTCTTCGGAGATCTTCACACTGGCTGATGTGAGGGAATTTCAGGATTTCCTTCCACTTTTTGCTTTTGCCTTTGCGTTTCCCTCCACCCCCTGCAGAGGAAGAAATACCAGGATTAGATTGCTTTAAGGGGCAGAAGAGATCACCAGCCCAGTCACAGTTCTTACAGATACCAGTAACAATAAAAGCTGAGACACTGTGGGTTCCTGTACAGGTAAATCCCTGGTAGTGTCCCAGGCCAGGTTGGATGGGCCCTGAGCAGCCTGGGATAGTGGAAGGTGTCCCTGCTCGTGGCAGGGGGGGTGGAACATGATGAGCTTTCATGTCCCTTCCAACCCAAATCGTTCTATGATTCCATGATACAGATAAATCTGAGATTGTCTGGCCTTAAAACAGACCAAGGAGGCAGCATCTGGCAGAAGATCAGATTGCTGAAAGTTGGGAGTTCAGGTTTGTGGCCCACCAGGTCCAGCTCAGATGACAGCCCTGTCCCAACCAACAGCCATTTCACACAAGTCAAATAATCTTGTAAAATTACAGCCCACACCTTCTCGACCTGGATGGATATCCCCCTTCTGGTTTGGGGATAAGCCCTGATTCCATCGCCAAAGAAGTGCTGGAGACTGAAGACCAAAGTTCAGTTATCACCTTTCCCCCTGCCTCCCATTACACATCCTGCCAACATGGAATTACTGCTGGTGTTCCACACTCTGGTCACTGCTGCTGCCACAGGAGAACAGTGGAGAACATTAATGGAATGACCTCATGAGGAAAACATCTCCTATTGGTTCTTCTTCCTCCCTCCAGATGTCCAGAACTGAACTGCCCTCAAGCTGCATGCCCAGCTGGCTTCCCCCAGCTCTGGCTGAACGAGCTAAGAGACCCTCAGCCTCTCCGTGCTGATGAATCCCCCTCGTCAGTGCCCCTCCATAAACACTTTGCTGCAGGCATCCCTGGCATCTGCAGGTGCCACACCTGAGCTGCCCAGGGGGCTCTGCCCTCTGCACTGGGCTCTGCCCAGCAAAGGCAGTGCTTCCAGCAAACCTCACCGTGCTCCTTGCTGGGAGGATCCCTCTGGATGTGACAGCTCAGATGAAGGCTGGGATTCTCCAAGTCTCTGTATTTACTGCACTTCAGTCCCTGCACACAAAATCTGATTCACTTGAGTCTATTTTCCGTGCACTAGCACATCAAATGACTAATTCAGAGCTGAGTTAATTCTGTAGAGGGGCTGGGAGAGTCGCAGTTGCAGACTGAGGATGTGCTAGATCCTACACGGCATTGCAGGCTAAATCAGGAGAGCATTGACTCAAAAGGTAGCAGATCACCACAGAGGAAGCATGAGCCTCAGAAAAAAATGCCAAGTACTGCACTCTGTGGGGTGTTTCCGATCACACAGAACCTTTGCCATAGGAATGCTTCTTTGGCACGTCATACTCCTTTGCTTTTGGTGGCCAATGGTTTCTCCATCACAGAATCTGCCTTGAATTATTTTAAAACTTCTTAATCACAGGAACTGCTTGCATTTCCACAGCATGCAACGTGAAGCAGAGGTACCTGCACTAGCCATAAAGGAACTAGACAATCACAAGTACAGCCCTGAGACCCTTTCCAGGAATCAGACTCCAGCAAAGCACAGAGAGCTGTGACTGCCTCCACATTACACAGCGTTATGCAACACAGATGTACCCTCTGGGTCTGGAATGAATTCTGCTCCCACCCTCCCTCCTCAGTGCATCCCAAACACTGCTGCTGAAGCCATTTCCTTTCCCATCCCTCCAGCCACAGCATCAGAGGGGCTGTCCTGCTCCCTTGCTCTTGCACACCGAGGGGCTCGGGTACACAAGGTGCTGAGAAGCCTTTTGTGGGCTGGGGTTCATGGGGGTCCCATGTGATCATCTGTTCTCCAGTTCCTGAGGTACATGGCTCTGCTCTGGCTGCCAGTGACCACAGGGCTTGGATTCAGCAACCCAGAGGGTCCTCACTGACCTTCATCTCCCCAAAAGCCCACTCCTGCAATCCTGCTCAGCAGTTCCTGCACGCCAGGCTGTTGCCACCTCCACTTGCCCCTGTTCTCCTTCTCTTCTGGCAGTGCTGTGCCTGATGCACCCCAGGACACAGCTGGCCCTCCTGGCTGCCAAGAACTCTTGAAAACTCTGAGTTCTATGCATTGATGTCAAAGCTCCACGGGAATTAAATGAATGAAGTACATATTACCTAGCACTGGGGCAGGGATGGGGAGGAAGGGGAAAGCAACTGCTGGGCTGGTGCTAGAGCAGAATGACCCCCCTTTGACAGCTACAGGGTTTGAATCTGGATTTCTGGATCCCTTCCTCAGGCTGTCAGCTTCTACAGCGGATCATCCCA